TCACCTGATGGTAAGCAATCGGCGTCGCCCATGGACATCTAGAACACCAGAGGCGTTACAAGTGCGTCACCGGCTTTTTGGGGATTAGGAGTTTGAGGATCGTTGGGGATTCAGGGATTGGGGAAATTGGGGAAGGGGAAGGTAATTGGGCCTCCGGTAACCTCACTCACACGACGAAACACAATGCAAGCGTTGCTTCACGTCGGTTTTCTGTGAGGCCGTGGTATCACTCCGGTCGAGCCGGCCCATTCGTGCCGAAGCATGGCTCTCCCACACTTAAATTAGTGCATTTATATTAATTTGTTTTAATAGGTGACGTATTGAGCACTCTTGTCCTTATTATTTCTCTCTAAATCTCCACATCATTCTTGGTTTTAATCTGTTATATATTTTTCCCTGTGTATTCCATCTGACTACCTCGTTGGCCGAATAGTCTTACACCAACTGTTTATAACGCAAATTTTAATATAACTTTACATAGACATACTACATATAATAAACTCAGAACTCAAAAAACAGGAACTTCAAGAAACAATAAAGAAAAAAGTATTTGGCAGTTTATTCACGTCATGCCCAAAGTTTTATCCAGTCCACCTTTTGAAGCAAGTCCATCACTGAGCCGGGATCAGATAAGACGCCATTTATAAATGGCAAAGAAGCGATAATCCTGAAAAATTTAAATAATCCTCGACTTTACACCAACTTTGGCAACGACACGGAATGTGTAATTTTTTCTAAAAGAAAAACTCTTTCTGAATTTTGATTGGGGTATTAAATTTGAGAATACACCTTGTTGATAGTGATCCTGATAAATTATGTACTTTTAAAATGTTTTCTGTGTAAAATAATTGCAAAAATACCGATGGAAAATTGTTGTTCAATTTTATTTACATTGTTTTTTTCGTTATTATTTTGTTGTTTAACATTTAAAACGAGTACAACAAAAATAAAGGAAAGATGAGAAATGCAATGAAATAAAGGAAATATGTAGTTCTTATACTTTGTAAGTACCAATAAGTTTCCGATTATTACGTCACTTGCTCAGGGTGATTTTTTAAATATTTATCAAAGTACTGTACGGGTGTTTTAGTGATCAATATTGCATATAGGTACAATTAGTTACAAAGACTAGTGATCATGAAGCTGATAGACCAATGAAGCATAACTCCCAAAAAATACTGGACCTACCAGTATTTTTTTGAGAGTTATACTCAACAAAATTCTCACTTAAACTGTCAAACACCAAGCGGTCACCGGTGACCGCAACCTATTGTTCTATAATTGTGTCTACAAAACCGGTACTCGGCGAGTTAAATACAAACTTCGTTTAACCGCACAAAAGGTCACCTCTACGGAACAACGAACCAAAGCAGTTGATTATAACCAACAGGAACAAAACTAACATGACAACCTACATTACTATAAAGGAGTGTACCCAACTAAAATATTCACAGAAATCCGTAAATCTCCCCTGGAATGAGGGCAGAACTCGTAAAAGAAAGCGTTTAATAATTTCTCGAAAACCTTCGTTACTGGATGCCCCGGACTTGGTTGCCATAACCCATAACGGGGCTTATTCCCAAGCACGAGGCATTATAACTGGGAGTACTGAGCCAAACTAGATAATAAAAAGACAACATTGGAAGTGTTTTTAAATAAATTATTAAGTACTAAGCAGGTGGGACACTGAGTACGTTTTTTGTGAAAATATGACTTTTTGCCTTTTTGTTTTTATGTGAATGGCATTACATTCTATATAGAAATGATCTTGAAACCTACTGGGAATTATAAACCAATAATGTCTGTGATTCTTCACATTGGCCTAGCAATTAGCTTCGGCGCTACGTGTTGCGGTTTTATTTCCCATATAGAACTAATTTTCTGTGAGATCGTAAAACTATTCGTTACTAAAAAAATTCTTTCGAGTATAAATTTAAGTGTTTGTAAATTATTCAATGTTTTTTGAAAATATAACGATTAAAATATATATTGATAATAAATATTAAATAAATTATTAAGTTGTCGGCTTACTTACGTAATTATTTAACGACGAACTCGACACTCGACTAGTTTCGTCATATTTTTAATTTAAGACTAGCTTTTACCCGCGGCTCCGCTCGCGTTACACACACAGCGCCATCTATACCAATACTTTTATTTTCCTTCAAAAGTAGTTATTTAATCCAGGCTTCTAACTTTACGTCTGCAAAAATTCAAAGCAATCGGTTTAGTAGTTACGGCGTGAAAGCGGAACAAACAAACAATTTCTCACTTTCAAATTTATAATATTAGTAAGGTATTATAAGAATAGTAAGTGAAATAACTACGTGAGTATGCCGAAAACATAATAATTTATTGATTAAAATATACATCGAGGTGCATTCAGTACACGAATTTCAAAACTCAATGTTCAGTTTTGAAATTCGTTAAAAAAAATCATACCATTTTGTTTTGCCAAACCAGCTTCCAGGATTTTTTTTTTGCATTTTTGAAGTTCCGACAAAGGTAATAAAAGCATGAATTTCGTTTACAATTTGTTATTGATAGATTGAAAACCTTTTATTTTGTTTTTTCATGGTAAAGGTTTTTTAATAACACTGATTTGAATCTACTTATACCGTATCAATATACATAGCAGCGTCAACAACACGGGCCTCACAATATTTTTTTCTTTTCGGTTGGTACCTTCCTGGTTACCGGGTCGAAAAAGGAAGAAGATCAGTAAGTCTAACACTTTCTCTCGCCAGACTTTAGTTTTGGTACCTTCCTGGTTACTGGGTCGAAGCAGGAAGAAGAACGGGATGGTTTATGGTCAGGAAGTCTAACATTCTCTCTCGCCAGACATTACTTTTGTAAGTAAGAGAAGTCTTTGATGATTTTCCCCCCAAAAAAGATCCTGACATATTCTGGAACCTGTGGCGACACATGTCATATGACACCTCGCGTACATAGACCACCAATGAAAAGAAATCAACGGATGACGTCACAAAATACTACATCACACATGTGATGTTTACATGAGAATTAACACGGATAGGAAATCCCAACCCGTTGAGCAGAAAGCCTGCCAGACACGAACACCTTGCCTGGTCGGAGAATCCTCCTTTTCCGATATTAAGGAACTCTACTTACTGTTCCCTTAAAAACAAATACGCCTAAAATCTTAGTATCAGCTATTAATAAAATTTTAATTGGAACATAACATAACGCTTTTTATCCCCGAAGGTGGACATTCCCACACTGTACAATGTAACACCGACTTTTCACTATTTATGTTATTAGTCCCATGTATAGGTGGTGAACCTATTGCCATATACCGAGCACAATTCCAGATTCCGTGCTACTACTGAGATTTAAAAAAAAACCCTTTTACCTATACTTTTACCGACCCAGCAATCGGTCAGTCAGTCAAGCTTTAATTATAAAACGTAACCATATCTCTCGTTGTATCACCAACTTAATATCGCCTGCTTCGGTCCGTCTCAATATTTTTTATTCACTGTAAGAAGTTTGTCGGTTACCTCAAGTCTTATCCTACATACAGGCTTTGAGAAATGTTCAAGAAATTCTTTTTATTCAAGGAAAACCTTTAATTAGTTTACTCGTCTAGTAGAAGTTTAAATCTTCGTGTTTTTTAAACGATTTTATACAGTTAGATTTACTGCTGCTTTTGAGTATAAAGAAGTTTACAGTTAGAGTATTTTTTTAAGTAATGGGTTACATTAATATTGTCTAATTGTGTAAATAATCTATTCTTTACGATCTGCCTAAAAGTTTCAATGGTTTTTGTAAAATGTTACAACCCTAATTTAAACCTTAAGGCTATGTACATTCGCAATTACTTGTATATGCCAATTCAAATATTCCAATTGATATTGTAAATGCTATATTCAATCCAAAATCAATAGATACAATGTAACAGAATGATAAAACATTAGTCGCTTGTAACATATAATATCGCCTGTATCGTAACAACTTGTGGTGGCAATTCCCTATGTAGGAATTCCATTCACGCTTCCTAGTCTAAGAGCTGGAGAATACAAGAATAATTCATCAAATACTAATGTCTTACTAATGTCAAATTGAGATTTCATTTCCAATTATGAATTAAATTATTACAATTATTATAAATGCATTTCAGTATTTTTTTATGTATTAAATACATGAAATTTTGTATGTATAGATACTATAATGCAATGTGTAATGTTATAAAGAGGAAAAACTAATAAACTACTTTTTAGCGAATCAGGACCTAGTTATTCCAATTTCGAAAGCTTAATAATTCGACATGGACAAAGCAGGTCTGATACCAAAAAAATAAAACAAAAATTTTCTTGTTATGCCAACATCAGAATTGAATTGTCTACTACCTCCTAGCCTACACATCGCACTGCACATCGTCCCAGTATTAATATTGCACGAACACTCGCAGGTGGCGCATGCGGCCAAATTGAAAATTGCTCGCATCGGCACCGCGACGCCACTCGCAATTATACACGCTCAATCTGCACCCGAACTAATGAACAAATTCATTTGTTTTGTTTAGATATAGAAGTGGGTAATTTGCGGAGATTACGAAAAGAAAAATGCAATCAGGGACTCAGAGGTTAGAGGTATGATTATTTATTTTAAAATTAAGTAGGTACCATATTTAGATTCTTGTAAAACATCATCTCAATTTCATAAAGTCAAAGTCAAAATAATTTATTTTAATTAGACCAGAAAGGCACTTTTGAACGTCAAAATAAAATGGCAGTCAGTTAGTCCTCTAGTGAAGGAGTGAAGCTATTTGCTTGTTCCAAGGGGTACATTTCTACTCTTTTTCAATCAGGTTCACAGTATAATATTCTTGGTTGCATTGTTGAGTTGGTAATGCACTTTCTAACAGTTTTCGGGCTGGAATATTCATAAAAATAAAACACTGCAGTATAAAACATACTCTATTAAATATACTTTTTAAACTAACGTAATTTGTACTATAATGTAATTATGAGATTAATTTTCAAATAAAAATTTCAGATGCATTTACCAGATGGTCCATAAAACGCTTAAAAAAGTTGTATTAAAACCTTAGTTTAGGCCAACTGTATCTTAAATTCACTAATAAATACAATATTATAATATCATCATTATGCTTTACTAGATATATTTTGTCCATAACTTATTTATTACATTTACGTCTTTATTAAATAATTGCTTAGTTATTATCTTATAGACTTCTATTAAATTCGTGTCAATTCGTTGTATAAACGTGCGAACAAGCAAACACAATTTAATACATAACTTCATTTCACATTCACCTATACATCTACTCCTTCCAGTCAAAACTTTTATTTACTACGTCATGATTTAGTTTCGATGTTGTGTCACTAGGTAGCACCGGTTTGTCTTTATGGCCTATCGCCTCAGCTTCCTTCACAGTATCAGGTAATGCATCATTGGCGATGTCAGGAACGAGGAACGTTGCAAACCCTGCTACAAGCGATGAGATTCCAAATACTAGTGATGGGAGTCCATGCCAGTACATGGTCTGAAACAAAAAGGTTATAGTTAATTGGCTGCTAGAACACAGTAGCAGCGCGACTGTCACCGCGTCGCGGGTCGCGGAATACTGCTCATGAATATGAGCCTCTAGCGTGGCTTGAAACTAGCCTAATTCCTCGTCAAATAATTACGTGAGTCAGCCGACAAATGTATTAACTAATTCAGTATGTCTCACGAAAGTTTCATAATAAGTTTATACTTGCATTGAAACTCAGAAATTCTCTTTAGAAAACTTAAGAGCTATTAAACTTCAGATACATCATATAAAAATTAATTCAAAGGATTCTTTCAGCAGATGATGAAAGTTAATGAATAATATTTTGTGGTTCATAAGTAAAAAAATAATATTGAATGCACTTCAAATTAGTGTTTACATTTAAAAAAAACTACTTACCAAAAGTGGTGTCTGAGGTGCTACTATAGAACCCACTCTACCCAAAGATGAGCATAGTGCATGCATGGAGTTCCGCGTATATGTAGGGAATAATTCCGACGTATACATGTAGGTGATGCCGAAGTACAGAGTCACCATCAACTTACTGACCAAGAACGTTGTTATTGACAGCCATTCATAATCTGCAAAGTAAATGGAACGTTTTATTTGAGTACTGTACGCGTGATGACTAATAATTTGCTGAATTGACACTAGGAGCAGACAGAATTATACAAATGCATTATCCAAGAAAACATTTTCTGTAATTTCAAATTAAAATTAGTTGCAAAAAAAATCTGTTGCAAAAGGTAATTATGATTATGTAGCTTCTACTCACTTGTAGGCAAGAACGGTTGTCCAACACAAAATACACCAGCCAACAAGAAGCTAACAATCAACGGTATCTTCCTTTTATACTTCATCAGCACATACATTGCTATAAAACTTCCAGGGACATCAGTCATAGACACTAAGGCAAAGTTCAAATATATGTTCCCTTGCAAAGACACAGATGTTATGGTCATACCATAATTCACAAACGTAGAAGTCGTCCACCATATAACACAGACTAGGAACCTCTTAAACAAGGCCCCAGAAGTAAACGTACTCTTCAACACAGTTCCAAATTCTACATTCTCTTCTTCTTTAGTATCGCTTACTAGATTATCTAGCACCTTCTGGTCTAATGTAATATCATTCTTTTTTGCCATTTTCTCTACAATAGCTACTGCTTCTTTCTTCTTGCCCTTTATTAGGAGCCATCTTGGACTTTCATCTATCAAATATATATATGAGAAGAAGAGTAATGCTGGAGCGTATAGGACTCGTAGGAAGTTTCTCCAGTCAGGAACCATCCAAGCTACGAGGGCTTTTAATATTCCGCCTATGCTGTATCCAATGGAGCATAGCATGTAGTAGGGGACACGTTTGGTAGTTGCTATTATCTCTATGTCTGTAACAAATAAACTCGTAAGTTATAGGAAGCATAATAATACTATGAAATACGAATTGAATGACTTACTCAGTATATAAGCTGGTGAGCATATGTCTCCAATGGCTGACTCCAGAAACTCCAAAACTATATACAGCCAATAAGAGGTGACAAAACTCCTGGCGATACCCAGGACTCCACCCAATACGCCTGTCGCTATTATCAAGGCTTTTCTTCCTATTCTGAGAATAAAAATGATGTTGGAGTAAGGACCACAATACCGTCACCAAAAGGACCAAATTTTCTTCACGTCATTTATAGTAAGAAGGATCTACTTAAATTTTCACGGTAACTAAAATATTAGTGCCTATTTATTGATATTCTGCTACTAAATACCGATACTACATTTCAATACGTTATTTATCATCCACGCATAAATCTACATTTGCATTGTTAAAATTGCCAATTAGCATTTTAACAGATGAAATACAATTTTATCTTTATTCACGTTGCAGTAATAAATCGACAAGTACTCGCTTAATTAAGTGTGAAGAGCGCATATCGAAATACTTCATTGGTAATTGAAATTATTGTTGTATTGTAATTTGAAGAAACAAAGAAACTGTTGTTTTGTGAATGGAATAATAATTCAAAGAAAGGAATACTTGAATTCATCGAATGGTGCCAAGCTTTCAAAGTAATTTTAAATAGTTGGTCTGTATTTGGTATCTCTTTAAAATAAGAAAAAGTTATTAAACAGCTACTTCTATAGGATAAAATTATACAATCCGTGACCAAAGCATAAAAGATTAAACATCGTCATAATAGTTATATCTAGTTTCAAACGATATAATGTTAATTGGTGAATCATTAAACCACAACAATATTTCTTGTTTATTACCTATCCTATATTGTAACATTTACACTGTAGCTATTTATGGTCCTTAAATAAATAAAATAAATAACAAGTTTAAAATTGCTTAAGCATTATTTCAGATAGTAAACGAATAACTAAGTGTACCAAAATATTTACCTATCTGATAAAGGGCCAACAAAAAGTAGCCCAACCATATAAGCTAAGCTGTGGACCGTTCCCACTAGGGTCCTCTTCCAATCCTGGCAGGCGAGCTGAAACTAATGAAAAAAGAAATTCTATAGCAAATTAGCAAAAGGACCGGTTTACTGTTTAACAGGACAAGGACAAGAAGGCAAGGCACACAATTACAACATATAGCAGTCTATAAATACTATGTTCTCATTGATGTATAAAAAAAAATATAAGACAAGTCTGATGTACCGGCCTCCGTCTCAATCTTATTACATTAATAACAAGTTCTGATACAAAGATGATATTTCTATCGAATCATCATAATTTATGCCAGAGCCATGCTTCGGTACGAATGCGCCAGCTCGAACGGAGTGATACCATGGCTTTTCAGAAAACCGACGTGAAACAACTGAAGCGATGTGTTTCATCGTGTGAGTGTGGTTATTGGAGGGCCAATTACCCCAATCCCCGAATACCCAACAATCTCAAATTTATAATCCCCAAAAGACCGGTAATGCACTTGTAAAGCCTCTGGTGTTTTGAGTGTCCCCGATTGCTTACCATCAGGTGATTCGTCTTCTCGTTTACCGGATTATCCCATAAAAAAATGAATTAACAATGGATTGTGAATTGAGGTCGCTTTAATGATGTCAATTACGTTTTGTTATTTTTATCTTCGATGAATTATGAGATATCTTGGTCAGTACACGAGATGAAGTACTTAAAAGATTTATCTCGCAAATGTGATTATCGAATGAGATATTTTCAAAGTCTTGGATTCATTTTCAATATTACTGTCTCGGAGTTTGGTTGTAAATCTTGTAGGTATTCTTACATGTGGCATGAGGCTCATCAGCCAGTACATGAGAATCATCACCCAGATACATGACAATTTTAACATAACTGGCAGGCATCGAATCAATATGAGGTGCGATTGCAGCTATGCCTTTAACAAATCAGGGAATAGAAATGTTTTTTTTTTTAAACTTACGTCAGCCACAAAACTCTCAGGTTTGTCATACACCCATTCGTTACACGACGTCCCATTGATAGTACCACACATATTGTCTGCGAAAGTTTCATCTTTACACCTGTAACAAAGAAAATATATGTTTTATTTTCGGTTACTTAAAACTTGAAATACACTACAATTCACAGACACTATATCAAATTGTAGTCTTACTACTCTGACGTATCATAGTAGGTAACTTCACTTTTTGCTACAATTGTTTCCCTTATTACCAAAGACATTGTTTACCGCGTCGCTGGTGGTGTGGTCGCAAATGCAACTGCCGAGCAAGGGGTTTCGGGTTCGACTCGGCCCGGGTCGGGCAAAGTATTGCTGAGTTTTTAAATAAATCTCAGTAGTAGCACGGAGCCTGGGATTATGCCTGATATATGGTAATAACCTCACCCTCTATTACATGAGACTCATAACATAATTAGTGAATACTGGGTGTTACTTTATATAGTGGCATTAAGTGCCATAATATGAACCTCTGCCTAATCCTTCGAGGATAGAAAGCGTGATGTTAAGGTGATGACGTGGTTTACTTTTTATTTATGAAACTCTTTTGTTCCATGTTTGACATAGAAATGTATCTATAATGGCTTGTTGAAATCTGTACCTTGTCTTTAATTTCATAGTACACAATATTGTTCTGCACTATCACAAGTATCAATACCACAATAAGTAATTCATAAATAATTTACAGTCGTCTGATGCACTTTGATAATATTGGACACTATCTCAGACATTTCTATTATCATTCATTACAACTGACAATGACTGATATAATATTTATTTTACTACCTCTATAACAGTGTCTACCATCAAGTTCACACGATAACAATGCAACACATCTTCAAACAATTACATTTCAATGAGATTGCAGCTATGCATAACATTTCCTTTGCACCGAGATATTTCCCAGGCTTTTTATGTTATAATAATTTATTTTGTTATATAGAAGCAATTACTTATACACTCGAGGACCTTGGAACATAGTGTTAAGGAACGTCGATTAGAAACTTGAGCATCTGCAATGATACGTAGCGTGTTGCAAGATGGCGCTTGATTTTTTTTTTAATGGCATAAGCCGGTATACGGGCTGACGGATCACCTGATGGAAAGCAATCGGCGTCGCCCTTAGACACCTGGAACACCAGAGGCGTTACAAGTGCATTACCGGCCATTTGGGGATTAGGAGTTTGAGGATCGTTAGGATTCAGGGATTGGGGAAGGGGAGGGTAATTGGGCCCCCGTTAACCTCACTCACACGACGAAACACAACGCAAGCGTTGTTTTACGTCCGTTTTCTGTGAGGCCGTGGTATCACTCTGGTCGAGCCGGCCCATTCGTGCCGAAGCATGGCTCTCCCACACTTAAATGTCAATCATTTAATTTACATTGTTACATTAGCCTTTAGACTATTTTTGTATATTATTTTCCAGAAGTGCAAATATACAAAGAAACATACATAACTTCACGCCTGTCTCCCATGGGGGTAAGCAGAGACTTTAGAACGCCAATATAGTATACTGCAAATATAGTATAATGGAAAGATCCAACTATTTATTTATTCACTTTATAAGGTACAAACTAATTACATTACAGGTACATAATGATAACATATTATTTAATTAATTCTAATACGAGTATTTAATGAAACTAATATAATGAATCATTTATTTTTAATTCATAGTGAGTGATGTTGTCAACGCGAAAATGTGTGTCTGCATGTTCATATGTCTTTCTTTTACGGCAAATTGGAGCAACATATTGACGTGATTATTTAAATGGAGATTGCTGAAGAAATGGTAGTAATAAGTCTTTTTATTCAGATAACAAAATACTGCCTTACATTATTGAACCCAACTACAAAAAAAAATTATAATATTATTAGTTGAACAGTTGAAGAGTGACATAGGCTAGGAAACGTGACGCTACGATCGGGTGAAACCGTGTGGTAGTAATTAGTCTTCTCATATTTTTTTATTACCTTATAGAATACAGACAGGTTTGACATTTTTATGGTTTTATTTGTATAATAAAAATAAAGCAACTTCCTTCTTTTTCCGTGACCTTAACATGAAGGTTGTGCTCATTCTGATATCATCTTACCTAGCTGTCTAAAGGTGCGTTTATATCTGCTGAATGTTCCCCGAATGCGCTGTTCGCGAGCCGTTTGTGACCTTTTTTGAGGGGGAAAAATCATTCAATGCCTTCTCCCGCCCTAGTGAGGCGAGAGGGAGTGTCAGACTCTTACTGACTAAAAACCACCCCGTTCCTACTCCTGCCCTTCGAACCGGAACCCCAGCAACCCGTTAGGTCTTCCGCGGCTCCGTATCGGCATCAGCCCTGTTGGGCTCTATCAGTGGTGGTCTGATGGCTCCTTGAAGCGCGCGCGGAACGTGACGCGCCGTACGCTCGGGCCTGGTTCTGGTCGGGCGGCGAGTCACCCGTGCTCGCCGTCCGCAGTCCCGTGCTTACAGTGGTCGGAGATCGTCTCGCGATCCCCGACAGCCGTTTGTGAGCTGCCCGCGAGCTTCACGCGTGCATTTAAAATTATTATGTATACGAGTCAAGCATGAGTAACACTTTAGAGACGCACTAAACCATTGCGGGCAGCTCGCAAACGGCTCGCGATCTGCACATTTGCGGCACATTCGGCAGATGTGGACGCAGCCTTAACTCAGATAATTGCATTTGCACTATGATAGGCATAACGTTAATTTGATTAGATTCCTTCATTTAGAAATTATCTTACAGTAATGCTTATAATTTATTTTTATTTTTTTAAGGTATAAATATTTTAGTTTTAAATTATTTTTTAATATTCTAAGTTGTATATATAAATAGTCGTAAAGTAGTATTATGTTAATCATAAATCTGTATAATTACCTATATGACAAATAAATATTTTGACCTCTTACAGTAATAGTGATGTGTCTCTATAACTGCACCCAACACATCGTATGTATGTTCTGTGACTCGCAACCTATTACATGAAACCCATTATATATATTACTGCAAAGAGAAAGTGTTATAGGTTTATATTATTGTAATTACTTATTGTTACTAAACGGCACTCATAAATAATAATTAAACCTTTATATTTTAACATTATGTAGTATGCGACAATCGGTCAAGGGGTTCGATTCCCGGGTCGGCGGAGTCTAAAATTGTGCCCGGTTTATGGCAATAGGCCACCCCCTATTACATGGGACTTATAACATAAAATAGTGAAAAATGGGTGTTACATTGTACAGTGGTATAAGGTGCCGTAATGTGCCTCAGCCTACCCCTTAGGGGATAAAAGGCGTGATGTTATGTTATGTTTAACATTATGTAGGAACATGTATAAAGTATGCCCTATTTATGTACTGTACTCAAAATTGTTAAAGGAAAATAAATTCCCCACATCGTCCAGCATGATGACTTGTATCATCACAAGTAATGGTCAGTTTCCTCGTCACCAAAGTAAAACCGGTTACAACTGGATGTCTATATTTGCGAGATGTGTTATTTGACCTCTATGACTCCGTGCGGGAGATATTCTTGGCTTATCGTTGTCCATAATGCATACATAACATAACATCACCTTTAGCCTTTTATCCCCAATGGCACAGGCAGAGGTGCACATTTCGGCACTTAATGCCATTGTACAATGTAACACCCACTTTTCACTATTTATGTTATGAGTCCCATGTAATAGGGGGTGAGCCTATTGCCATATACTGGGCACAATTCAGACTCCGTGCTACTACTAAGTTTTCTTAAAAAGCTCAGTAAAAAAGTGCCCGACCCGGGAATCGAATCCGAGACCCCTTGCCCGGCAGTCGCACTTGCGACCACTCGGCCAACGAGGCAGTCATTTTATTTGTTCATTTTGACTCCCATAAAATTAGTTACATCTGGTATTAATTGGTGAATTAAAAAAAAAACTGTTTCTGCTTTAAGTGTGTAATATCAATTTAGTTTAATTAAGCCAAAATGATGAACACAAAATGTACAAATGTCTTAAGTAACATTTTATATTTCTACTAGCTGACTCGGCAAACTTCGTACCGCCTAAAATTGTTTTGTCATTCGAACATTTCAAGACCAAAATTACCCAAATCGGTTCAGCCTTTCTCGAGTTTCAGCGACACTAACAAACGGTAATTCATTTTTATTTATATACATAGACTAGCTGACCCGGCAAACGTTGTACAGCCTAAGAATTTTTGTGTTACCTTTTAAACCTTCCCTGGACTTCTACGAACATTTCAAGACCAAAATTAGCCAAATCGGTTCAGTCGTTCTTGAGTTTTAGCGAGACTAACGAACGGAAATCCATTTTTAATTATATATAGATTATATAGATAGATAGATTTACAACTCAAATATGCACTGATCAGTAATCTTGGAAATACATCTGTTAAAATGAAATTTGTTTTGTTATTTCTTTGCTTTCCATAGTCTCTGCCTACCCCCATGGGAGAATGGCGTCAGGTCATGTATGAATGTATGTTTTGTTATTTTCCCAAACAATGTTTACTTTCATCACACCTTACGTCTTGACCTTTATGGATCATGATTGTTAACCTTACAACATATTGTGTATACAATAATATTGACAATTAATATAATTGATATAATTAATATGCCTAATAACTATCACAATATCACATAATAATATTATAACAGTAATCACACGACTATGTTAATATTATTGATATTACTAAACACAATACGCATTATTGTAGCAGTCTTTTTGCTGCGCCATGTAAGTTGGATTCCCGTATAGAACAATTTTATGTGGTCCACAATTTGTTCTTAGATCTGGGTGTGAATTTCTATATGAATTTGTATTTTTGGAAACACCACGACATGAAAAAAATCTTAGTATCTCCAAGTTTAATTTAATAAAAATCAAGTGAATTACGATATTTCTCAGTAATTCTTTACGCGTTTTGTCATGGCAGCCAACAATGATCTACGCAAGCCATGGTCAAGTTCATGTAAAATGGCGTAACGATATGGTCGACTAGGTAGTAAACAATAGAATGGTAACCTTATTTAGTACTATGGTGTCATTCAACCGAAATGGTCCTTCTATCCGCAGTTGTTATAATTGATTGACATTGTCATGACATTGGTCCTTCCAAAAAATGTACAACGTAACTGATCGACGTTAGTAAGTATCTAGTGTATTTCATTAATTACAGAAAAGAAATCAAACGATATCACCACGGGATAGTCAAAAATATTTAATATCGGTAAAAAAATTATATTGGTTCATCTTTACACCAAAGTCAAAGCCAAAATCATGTATTTCAATTAGACTAGGAAGGCACTTTTAAACGTCAAAACCAAACATAGAAATATTAAATAAATGTCAGTCCGTCAGTCACTCCTCTAGTGAAGCTATTTGCTGATCCCAAAGTGTAGATTCCTATGAAGAAGAACGAGAAAGAAACTTTGGCTACTCTTAATAAAATTCTTGGTTATACTGCTTCAATTATGTGAGAACAATGTAACACCAATACTCAGTCAAGGAGAAAAACAAGAAAACAACATTGAGGACAAACAAATTTAAAAAAAAACCAAGAACGAAAAGTGAGATAACTCCGAACTAATGAATGTGATTAAGTCACATAGAAATACTTCGTGCACTAGGTATACCTACTCATAAAAAGAAAACACACTTACCTATATGCGACTTCTTCTACCGCGAACACATAATTAGAACTATAAGCTGAGTTAGAGGCATAGGCCAGGCCTATAAACAACATCAACTGCCCATGGTAGGGTCCAAACATCGTAAACTTTCCCAGCACATCGTCCAAATGTGTTTTTATCGATTTCTCTTCGGAAGCCATGGCACTGTACTAATATTATTTTAAATATTTTTTATAATTAAATATTTTTCATGATCACTTCACAATTTTTTTTTATATTATTTTATATCAATTTAAATTCTTTTTTCTATTTGCACAGCACTACACTCGCACTAAACCCACAGGCCACTAACAATTAAAAAAACATGAGTTTAAAAATCGAACACTCGCGTGTTATTTTGCACGCGGTTTCATTGCCGCCATGTTTATCAAACAGTGAGAAGAAAAACAACTAAAATGCCGTGTGCATTTTCACTGGCCCGTTGCGCGGGACTAAGTCTCAATAATGAATGTAAATCACAATTTGTAGGACAAGGTACAGTTCGGCCAACGAACAAATGCATTGTAACTCGTTTGTCGTAACGACTCCCATTCACGGCGCGACTGTAATCGTACATCCGCTTCTAATACGCGTGACGACTAAATTGACGGATACAGATATATATCTTGTAATCTTGTTATTGCACTTTCTTGTCCTTTGAAACAGATACAGCATAACATCACGCATCACGCCCTTTATTGCTCGAAGGGCACGCGTTAAATAAGGGTTTTTTTTATTTGCCCCACACTAGGATTTTCTCCTGTGTCGTGGGTGCGTTTAAGTTCACAAACACATGACACCCAGACTCTGAACAACAATCTGTGGATCACACAAAGAGTTGTTCCGTGCGGGAATCGAACCCGTGACACGTTGCGCGGCAGCCAGTTGCCCAGCCACCGCACCAACAGTGCAGTCATTGCGGGTTCTTCAATTATTTTATGAAAACCTTAATTATTATTAATTTTCCATTGTATTTGTTATTTAGACATCGTTTAGAGTGAGTATTTAGAGTTAGTAGTATTCGTATGTCGCGGAGAACCTAACGGGTAACCGGGGCTCCGACTCGACGTGCAGGAGAAGGAACGGGGTGGTTTTTAGTCAGTAAGAGTCTGACACTCCCTCCTGCCTCACCCAGGCGGGAGCAGTCATTCGATGATTTTGCCCCCTTAAAAAAAAAAAGTAGTATTCGTATAGATATACATGGGATACAGAGGGAGTGGGATTATTAGAAAGAAATAAAGAAAATTTGTCAGAATATAGTAACAATAGGTGTTTTATCTTAATTCATGCCTTATACATTCTACCGAATCGGTGTATAAATATTACACTTATTTTCTACTAATATATTTATGTACTATTCTACAACAATGTTTTTGCAGTCTTTGTCATCGAGAAAATGTTTCATTGAGTACCTAGTACATAAGTAGCACTTATTTAACAGAGTCTTAAACTGTCAAACACCAAGCGGTCACCGGTGACCGCAACCTATTGTTCTATAATTGTGTCTACAAAACCGGTACTCGACGAGTTAAATATTATAATGAGACAAAAATGAAACTATTTCTTAGAACTGGAAGTTTGCTACTATCCAAAACTCCAAGGCTATTTGTATTTTGGAGGGCATTTCATCCAGGTTTTACTGCAATGCAATTTTATGGTTTATTTTTACGATCTCTTTTTTATCAGGTCACAAAAGAGAATAACGTTAGATGAAGTTCAATACAAGTAGTTGATCTAATACTATTCTTTATTGGTTACAACGGAATTCTTTGAGTAATACTCTAAATAAAATATTAGAGGTATATTAATACTTTAACTGCCAACTTTAAAACGATGAAAGTCAAACCTCCACTAGCGTCAGGCACCGGTGACTGACATGGCAGTCTAAGGGTTAAACTTCCTAGTGAATTTCCATGCTTAAAAATTATTCGTTGTAAATAACTTTATATATATTTCAATTATATATACATAACTACCTCGTTAGCCGAGTGGTCGTAAGTACGACTATCGGGCAAAGGGTCTCGGGTCATGCAAAGTGTTACTGGGTTTAAAAAAATCTAAGTAGTAGCACGGAGTCTACGAATGTGCCCGGTATATGGCAATAGGCTCACCCTCTATTACATGGGACTCATAACACTAATAGTGAAAAATAGGTGTTACCTTTGTATGCACCTCTGCCTACCCCTTCGGGGATATAGGGCGTGATGTTATAATGATGATATACATAACGTTACGCCTTTATGTAATACCAACAAAACGGAATACCCACTTTTCACCAATTTTGTTATCAGTCAGAGCAATTAATTCTCCGCATTACTTAGAAAAAACCGCGAATACTTTGGAATGAAATTGAACCCGAGACTCGACAGTTACACTTGCGACCACTCAACTAAAAAAGCAGACTTATTTGCTATTAAACTGTCAAACACCAAGCGGTCACCGGTGACCGCAACCTATTGTTCTATAATTGTGTCTACAAAACCGGTACTCGACGAGTTAAGTCACGACAAATAAATCGCATAGTGAATGCAATAATAAAGTCTTTAATGAATTGTTAAAAGTCACGTCCTTGCTAAAAATAATGACTGGCATTCACTTATGCGCGACGCCACTAGCAGTCAGAAGTAATTGGAAAACCATTAGATACTGTGAATTAACCTTTTAAATCAGCAATGATAAACTATGAAGGAATTCATGTGTATTTATCTTAACTATAAATAACTTGAAACTTGAACTTATCTTAACTTCGGGAACTTTTTGTTTTTAAATGACATTTTATACGATTAATAATTCCAGCCATTTTCATTATGCCTCTTATCAGTCACAAATACAAATACAAAAACAAAATAATAAAAATTCCCTGCATCAACATTTATTGATGCAGTTAATGTCATATTTTTTAAATTTATGATAAAAAGATATACTCAAAGTTAAAAGTCTATACAATATATATTTTTGTTATTTTTCTTGCATTCAACTTCATGGATGAACGATATAAGTTTTTACAACAGTTGACTGAGCTATAATAACATTAAAATAGTATGACCTTGATGCCTACTGACCTTTATAGTTTTATAGTGTACAAATATTTCTGTACACTATTTTTTATTAAATATGAATAATCTTTTAGTCGTTTTTTTTAATCTCAGTAGTAACACGGAGTCTGGAATTGTGCCCGGTATATGGCAATAGGCTCACTCCCTATTACATGGGACTCATAATATAAATAGTGAAAAGTGTGCATCTCTGCCTACCCCTTCGGGGGTAAAATCGGCGTGATGCTATGTTATGTTATGTTAGTTTATTTTTTGATATTAGGTACCAGAACAAAGAATGTAACATAAAAACCATCAAACGTAACAACTATTTAAATGTGAATAAAATAATTTTGAAGTTTGAATTTCGAATTTCGATCAATGCTTGTTTACTTATAGTCCATGAAAATATTTATAGAATTAATTACTTCCATTAAACAGAGTAACATTTTAGTTATATCGATCAATAGATAAATAATAAAATTATTATATTTATTTCTTTCCATTTGAATTTGCGCTTAATAGAGTTGCCGCGTAAAAGGATTGGCAGGTTTAACACAACTTAGAAAGGACTAGTTGCCATATTGGAAACCAGAAGGCCGTTAAAAGTTATATTTACTACCTGGCTAACTGATTCATACTCAAGTGTCCGGGTATAGCAATAGACACACGGACGGACAATGAGAATGTGAGTGGCTTAAGTCACTACCATCGCTTTCTACTCAAAACATCTGCTCCAGCCGAAGCTTCCTGCATCCCTGGCCCACTCGCGACTTACGAATAGTTTCTTACCCTCCGAGCAGGATCACTGCTCTCGCGACTCCACTCTGGACGGCCAATGAAGGTAAGCCAGAGGTGGGAGACCTGTTCCTTGACATCGTTCACTCCAGCCAGCCAATTAAGGCAAGTCGGAGAATAATGAACAGTGACTTCTCCCTGTAGCACTCGGGATGATGGTAGTCCGAGGGATCGCTAATGCCCGTCACCTAGCCTCAAGGTGCCCTGCAGGTTTTATCATTATTATGTATGTCTTTACCATTCACGGGACCACAGAGTCTATTATTATTCACATGTGCATAATAATCGTGGTAAACACTAATTCGTACCCTATTTCATTCAGAAAAAAACATCTGCAGGGCCTCTGAGCATTGGCTTTGGCCTACATCTTCCAAAGGCATGAGACCTTGTAGTCTCTAAAATAGAAATAATACGATAGTACTACAATGGAACTATGATATCTATGCATTAAGGTCGAATTTCATTTATCAGTGGGAGTAAGTCAAACCAGTCTTGGTTGTCGAAGAAATATTCAAATTGCCTTAGGGCTCTGTAACCGTGACCCCTTTCTTTAAATTGACATGTATTGCATTGTGAAAGTTAGATACTTGATGTTCCGTAGGTAGATGAATAATTTTTATTATTTATGCAATGGAAATGAGTTCATCCCACAATCTTAGACTTACCATAATCCAGCCCACATTCTTATAGTTCCCGCACGGTGCACGGCAACTCTTTGTGTGATCCATAAATAGTTGTTTCAGGTCTGAATGTTATCTGTTATATAAACGACACAGGAGAAAATCCTAGGGTGGGACAAAAAAAATTGTTCATAGATGTTTTGTAAAATCCACAATTTCAAACTTCAAACTGCCTCGTTGGTTGAGTGTCAAATGGGACTCAGATGTCATTCCAATTAAGTCCATATATTACATGGGTATTATAGCGTAAATGGGATCAAGTAAGAGCTATATAAAAAACCGACTTTACTGTAGGAATTACCATGATCACATTTGGGTAATTTATCGGCTACTATATTTCTACATTATCACGCATTTTGTCTCCGAAGATATAGGCAGAGGTGCACATTACGGCGCTTAATGCCACTGTACAATGTAACACTCACTTTTCACTATTTATGTTCTGAGTCCCATGTAATTCGAGATTTTTAAAAAACCCAGTAGTACTTTACCCGACCCGGGAATCGAACCCGAGACCCCTTGCCCGGCAGTCGCATTTGCGACCACTCGGCCAATGAGGCAGTCTTTTCAGTCAGTCAGGATTTATCTGCTTCGACTACAACTTTAATCCTTTGGTACGCCACAGGTGTAAATATTAAACAACTTAATGACATGTAACTAACGTCTATTACGAAAGTAAATAAAATAAAACATCTTGATTTGCAACAAAGTCAGGGAAGATAAAGAAAAGTGATTCAATTTATGTCAATTGTACAAACGTTGCTAATTGTATAAATTCTCTTGTAAACATAGTACCTATTATATCTCAGTTTTACTGCATATAATTCAGTTGCCTTGGTGAAAACAATGGAGATAAGAAAAGGAATTAATTAAAAAAGGTATTGTTCTAATTTCTTTATTGTTTGGAAACTGTGAAATAAGTTCATATTTCAATCATGTTAATTCAGGTAAAGACATCGTCATCATCCTCATCGTCAGTCAGTGTTCGTCCACTGC